ACTGCGGCCCCGGCTCGGCCTGTCCCTGCCTCTCGCGCAGGGCCCCCCATGACGGGCACTGCCGGTCCCTCAGCTCCCGCGGCTGGCATGGCCCCGCACGCACCACTGCTGCCGTCTCTGTGGCGCAATGGGCGAGCGCGCTCGGCTGTTAACCGGGAGGCTGGTGGTTCGAGCCCACCCAGGGACGACCTGCTTTTGGTAGCCTCTGTGGGCTTACCATTGGGGACCCTCTGCTGTGGAAAGGCCCTGAGCATCAACACGTGCTCCCTGGAGCTTCCACACAGCCAGGTCAACTCATGACACTCCACTCCTCAGAGCCATCTGGGGGAAATGGGCTGCTGGCTTCTCCCACAGCAGCTCTCCCTAGAGAACTGCCGTTCTACACAATGAGTGGCTTTGGCTGTCTGCACTTTTGCTGTTCCCATTGCAAGCAGCACTGCCCTGCCACCATCCATGTGGCAAGGAGGTAGAGCTCTGAGCCATGGGTTGGAGGCCTCCTGGCACCTTAAGAGGTGCCTCTGTCTTCGACCCTACAGATGCCGGATGCAGGTCACAGAGGAGGGCACTGCGGAGACTTTTGCCTTGCTTGGGCCTGGTGGCAGGAGCTGGAAGCAGCTTCTTCTCAGCAGAGTCAGGATTTATCAGCTTCCCTCCCCTAATGGGCCTTACACTGCCAAGCAGAGAAAGCACCAAGTCATCAGCAAGCAAAGAATATGCTCCTTCTCCCTGGGAAGAGCTGGTGCTCTTGAGTCTCTCTGGAGTGGAATGGCAGTCTCCTTTGGGCTAGGCTTCAAGGGGGTTTTGGTTAGGTGAGAATCTCCTCCTTGCCAAATGGAGAGCAGAGACAAGAGAAAGGGCATCTGAAAGGCTGGCTGTCTCAATCCTCAGGCTTTGGCTTGAATGCTTTCCCAGAGCCCGGCACAGCTGCCATGGCAGCCCCCCAGGAGAAGACACTGCACCATCATGAGACACCGGGAAATCATTGTAGGTACGAGCCCCTTGAATGGTAGGAGCAGACAACACAGAAGAGCTTGTACCTCCTTCATAGGCCACAGCATCTTTGGAAAAAAAGGCAGTGGCCCATCTGTGCCCATGTCTCCCTTGTCTTTTGAKACCCTCCTCTTCTCCCCATGGGTCCTGCAAAACCTTTGCTGTGACTCGGATTCGAACCGAGGTTGCTGCGGCCACAACGCAGAGTACTAACCACTATACGATCACAGCTGCCCGGGTGTTTGCCTTTGCTCCTTGGGCCACCTTTCCCTCCTGACTCTGCAGAAATAGCAGCGCCAGCGTGTACCCTCTGCACCACCCTCCAGCGCCAGGACACGGCTGCATGCCCGGAGAAGGAGCACAACGAGAGGCCTGTCTCCTGGACGGTGCCTCCAAGCCTTCTTGCACAGCACAAAGCCCACCAAGAGAAGGGCTTCCTTCCCTGGCAGACTCCTCCGTGTCCTGCTCTATGGCCTGCTCTCAGCGTCCCCAGCATCTTGTGGCCCCCACATGTCCTGAGCAGGAGACAATCATGTTTCTTGTGTTCATGTGCAGCCCACGTGGAAAACATCCCTTCTCGGGACTTCTTTCTCGTATGTCCAGCGCAAGCACAAATTGTGGGTATGGACTTGGACAAGAAAACCACGTGGGGCTTAAATGACTAGGAAGAGGTTCTGGCAGCAGAGTTGGAGTGTGCTTCRGGGGGGCACTTTCASGTCCTTTGGCACGCAGAGGCCAGCCCGCTGCAAAGGGCCCAAGGGCAGCAGCTCTTTGGTGGGAGAAAGAGAAGGCCCCAGAGTGCACGAAAAGCAGGTCGTCCCTGGGTGGGCTCGAACCACCAGCCTCCCGGTTAACAGCCGAGCGCGCTCGCCCATTGCGCCACAGAGACGGCAGCAGTGGTGCGTGCGGGGCCATGCCAGCCGCGGGAGCTGAGGGACTGGCAGTGCCCGTCATGGGGGGCCCTGCGCGAGAGACATCTGCTCCTCTCCCTTTGGCTGGCTGTACTTTGCACAAGATTTAAATGCTGCCTTAAATGCAGACAGCTGCTTACCTTTTCCCAAGAGTCCAGGAGTCCATCCTGACCCCAATGTTCCCTGGCCGATCCTTTCAGGTTTACACTGGCCTGGCTTACAGTTTTACTCTTTTTCCGGTCTCACAGCAACATGGTCTGAACTTCGGCCCCTCAGCCCTGACAAGGATGAACTGATGGACCCCAACCATATGCGCAGCACTGCAGCACGCTAGTAGATAAAGACATCTTCCCTCACTGTCTCACCTTGCCTTGGTGCTGTGTCTTCTGCTCTGCAACCCTCCACTCCTGCATTGCATTCCAAACCCCCTTCCCCTCTGCAGACACCCTGTTTGCTGTACTCCCCCAGCTAGCCTCGCTAAACCTTATCTGCACTCCCACAATCTCTCTCCATTCCTCTCGTTTCCCAAAGTTCCCTCTCTCCAATCCTGTCTCTTATCCCACCTCCCCAYCAGCCCTTTATCTGCTGTCCCAACAGGGTCAAGGCCAGCTTCCAACCCTCTCCCTGAGCTCATTGGTGTCCCATGGCTGAGTTATCCTTCAAAGTGGACTCTGCTATCAGTCCCCCAGCCAGGTGTTTTTTTAACCTCATTAATATATTGCAGGAGGTCCTGCTTCCCCCCAGTTTCCAGCTCCAAGCTCACAACCTGCACTATGGGAGTCCACTGACCAACCCACACAGGCCTCCTTGGGATGTTCACTCTTAGAACATCAAATCCCTACCCACATGCTCATCCTTGTGGGTGCTCCTTGTGACCCATCTGGCTTCCTGCAAGTGGCAAAAGTCAGCTCTGGAGGGGTAGATAGCTCAAGAAATCATTAAAATCACTATCTCCTGGCTGATTCCACAAGTAATTGCATCTGGTCACCAGGATAATTCTGAATGTTAAAATCTGCCATCAACACTGAGATATAGAGTGCTGTCTCCAGCCTACATCCTCTACACTGCCTTTGATTCCACGGGCCTAAAACAAGTGAGGCTATATGGGCTTCCAGCCATGTTAGAGGATAAAATTGTTCATTAGGAGCTCTAACAATATAGAAACTGTACAATGAGAACAGCAGGCATGGCTGCAGGAGGGGTGTATATACACTCCCTGCCTCAGTTTTGTGTGCCATGAGCTTGGTGTGCAAATAAACAGCCACCTGTTCAGTCAGCTCACACTTGTCTAAGGAATTGATTACAGCTTGGGGTTAACAGGCAGACCCAACCAAATTTATCTGGGAATAGAATAAAGATCTTATCATCTACCAGACACAGTAATTTTAAGTATTAATAACCTCTTTCTACAAGAGAGTAATTAGTCATGATTGACTTGAACAGTGAATAAGTATTTTACTGGGGCCACAAGAGTTCAGAAGAGACCTTAAGTCTCCTAAGGGCATGCTTTAAAAATTGTTTTCAACTGACGTATGTGTGAGCTGATCCTTTTGGAGCAGTCACTCAGGATGGCAAGACTTACTGGTTTCAAGTATGCTGAGGAATAGTATGATGGCAGGACTGAGGAGTTGTATGACTACAGATCCCGAGCTGTCACAGAGGACTTGGACCCACTGGACCCAGAGTGAGTTCCAGGACACAGCTGAGCTGTCAAGCTCTCACCTGTCCACGTAGCTCCCAAGKACAGCTGTCTGGGGGAAAGCCACTCAGTGCTCACATCTGGGCAACCATTGGCCCCAATGCCCCCAGGGTGACCAAGCTGCTCAAACACAGGCAGCAGCCTGGGACACCTGCCCCTGGCTGATTTGCTTCCTACAGAGCTGGTTATGCACCCTCAGGACCACAGACTGTCCCTTACGGGGGATGCCCAAGCACAGCAGTGAGTCAGGAGAGCTGACCTGCTGGCACTGCTCTGCGCAACCATCTGGAGCCCCCCAGGAAAGAGGCTGAACTCGGCAAGTTCATGCCCCAGACGCATCTTGATGCAGTCACAGATGGACACAGCAACATAGATTTATTGAGGACATTGGCACAGCTTGGTGCAGCARCRAAGTGACCTGCTGCCAGGATCCTGGCACAACATGGGGCTGGTGTTTCACCAGGGAACTACTTTGCCTTCCCAGTCCAGAAAAGTCCCAGTGTCCTTGTCAGACAGCGAGCAGAGCACCTTCAGCATCCCTYGCACGCTCACGTCCATTGTCAGTGGGGGCTGCAGRGACAGAGCAGAAAYACAGTCATGAGTCCAGGACCTCSTGGAGGTCTCCYCAGCTCCCCCTCAGGCCACTGCCTCCCTGTGTCCAGGCCCTGGAGTCTCTACGATAAGTGAAGGGAGGAGACACCAGTACAGTCTCAGGAAGACTCCCAGTCTGTCACCTCCTCCTTCCCTCCTGTGCCTCCTGCACAGGGAATTGTCCAGACAGCTCCATCAGGGCCCACCAGGCCTCAGGACGTACAGAACACAGGGCTCTCTGCATTCCTGAACAAATAGCATCTGCTGGAATGGCCCCATCAAAAAACAAATCCTACCTTTCGTTCTGCTGTGTTCCCCATGTCGGTTTGCACCCAGCCAGGGTGGAGGGCAACACAGAGGATGCCGTGTTGCCGGTAGCCCAAGGACTGGCACTTGGTGAGCATGTTCAGAGCAGCCTGCAGGGAGACACCGTTAGGATCATGGTGGGGAGGAAAAGAGTCCCCTCCCAAAGGCAACATGTGCAGACACCAAGRCTGGGGCGGAGCAGGCGAGGAGAGCTCCCGGGGACACATGGGGCTCCCACAGTCCCCTTGCACAGACTGAAGGAAAGGCCTTAGTGGCATGAGGGGGAGAAAGAGACTGCCAAGAACTGGTGTAAGTGGGAAGATGKGCAGGGAGGCCAGGAGGGGAGTCACAAGAGGGACTGCAGGGATTTTGGAGAGAAAACCAAACCTGTTGGGGTTCACATCTAGCACACTGTGGCACTACCTTGCTGCAGCGGTAGGAGACAATTTGCCCCAAATCCCATAAATACACTTCTTCAATGGAGCCAGCAATGCTTGACATGTTGATGATGGCTGCCCTGCTGCAGCTCAGCTCAGAACTCGGGCTCCCCTGGGCAGCCTTCTTCAGCAAGGGCAGGAACGCCTGCAAGCAGAGAGAAAAGGGCCTGTGTGCACGTGGTTCAGGAGAGAGGACCTGCTGCTTCCACCGTGCATCATCAYGAGAGCAYCAAGTCAGTGGGCAGATTGYTGCTCTCACAGAAGCAGAAGCCCAGGCTGCTCCTCCTGGACACTGACCCATGGCTCCTTGCAGTGCCCACSTGAGCTGGAGAATGGCAGGACAAGARCCCCTTGGGCAGCAAGAGAGCAGAGAGCAGGCGCYTCCCTTCAGCCTTTCCCACCTGCCTRCGATGTCCCAGCTGGGGAGCTGGRRCTGMGGWGAAGGGATGTTCCCTGGGGCACAGCTATCAAGCCATAGTTGGGGTGCTCACCTGGCTCACCAGCATGGGCCCAATCGTGTTGGTGGTATACACTTTAGACATATCCTCCTTTTTCTCCACATCTAAGGTCCTGTTCAACAGTATTCCCGCGTTGTTGATGAGGAGGTTGAGCCCAGAGCCCTTCAGGTGCTCCTCAACTCTGGCTGCAGCTGCCTGGATGCTGGCAGGGTCAGTGACATCTACRGAGTCAACACABCAGGAGGYAAGTGCCCCATTCCCTTTCATAACTCCCAGCACCACCAATGACAGGGAGCAGGAGCCTTGGGGCACGGCCAGGAGCACCTACSAAGTGGGATGATGACCAGGCTGGGGTRCTTGGASGCCAAACTCTGCAACTCCTGCAAGAGAGGGGACAAGAGAGAGGCAGGTACTCGTGGGCAGAGGGCTCTCTCGGCCAGCCCCGTGCAGCCCCTGGCACTGCTGCTCTGCCCCTGYGCTCCCCRTGCCCAGYGCCCTCCCTGCGTGTCCTGCTCCACTCGGACAGGGCTCCGAGCCTCCCGCATGCACCAYGGGCCCCCGCTGSCCCCTCCTGCAGACACCAGCCCTTCCGTGCAGCCCCGGAGCAGACGGGTGCTGTGCCAGCAGCTCCCTTGCTGTCCCCGAGGAGCCCTGGCCCCTCCGCGCACCCCGTGCACCGCTCGTCCTGTGGCCGCGCTCGCCCGGCTGCCCTGTGTGCTGGCAGCTGCAGGGCAGGCTTGGAGCTTCCCAGCTGCGCCCTCTCCAACCTTCTCCTGCCCCAAGACGAGGCCCTGGCAGCGCCTGCTGCCCTGCGCTGCCACCCCCTGCCAGGACAGCTCTGCTGAACCTCACCTGCGCTCGCTCTCCCTTGGGGTCCCGGCAGGCTGCAAAGACCCTCTCGGGAGGGTTTGGCAGCTGCAGGAGCTGCCTGATGAGTTCCAGACCGAGCCCTCGGTTGGCCCCGGTCACCAGAACGGAGCGGACACGGAGCCCTGCCATGCTGCTGCTCCGGACCCTACTCTTCTTTGCACACTTCACTCAGTTCCCTATCCTATATCCTGTTCAGCTGTCACTCCACCCACTTAGTGCTTGTGCAAAGTCACAGCTGCAGTTTCTACAGGCCTTTGGCTGTAGCACAGTCTCTCCAGCTCTTCAAGATTTTCCGGTTGTACGGCGTGGCCGGGGTCCAGGAGTGAGCGCTCCTCATTGCAAAGAGCAAAGGTCACTTGTCTTGAGCTGCCTCTGGCGAGGCCCTGAGCAGGGGCAATCAGCCAATCTGCCCAGGAGARGCTGTGCTGAGGGACTGAGGGACGGAGCAGTGAGCCGGCTGTGGAAGGGAGGCAGGCTGCCTCCTGGCCCTGCTGGGCTTGACCCGCTCACAGCCTTTCTGCTTGTTCCYGTATAACATCAGCRGCAGGCTGAACCCATTCCCTTTAGCTGCCTTCCAGAGACCTCCGATGGAGCTGCACAAGGCTACTCTGTTCTGCCCCATCTTCCAAGCAGATTTTCCATCTCTCRTCATCCCACCAAAGACCATCAGAGCAAACCACCACCACTGCTTGCTTGCAGAAGGAAGTGGGCCTGCATAGACTCCACCTCACCCCTCTGCTTCTCAGGYTCTCCATCCTGTTGGATGCWGTCTCCACCCTTGTGCTTCCCTCTGTGAATTGTGGTGCACWTTCCCAGTGTGCACATGCATCTGTGCCATGCTGGAGTGCAGAGCAGCTACTCCMTGCAAGATTCTGCTGCAGAAGCTTCCTGAGTGCAGTATTGCTTCTCCCAGGGCTGCAAGCACAAATCAAGTGGAACTGCCATTTGACATGAGAAAGAAGATCACTGCCTGCACAGAGCCACCTGCCCAGTAAGTTATTGTTCGATAGAAACAGAGCTAACATAGGGAAAATCAAGCTGAAGAACAGGGAACTTCAGCAGGTCAAAGGAAAGGACAGGAAAGCCAACAGAAAGAGTAGTGAAACAGGTGAGTGTGAAACTCCTGGTGTTTGAAAGGTGTACATGAACATGACAAGCCCTTGTGAAGACATCAAAAATCAAAGCTGTTAGCAAAATCAAGCTACTTCTCCAATCTAGATTTGCTCTTTAACTTATTGCTCCTATTTACGTATAGCATCAGAAGTCCTGTTACACTGAGCATAACATGTAACAGTGCCTCTCCTTTTGTAGCTCACCTGATTTAGCTGAATTATGATTATCAGTGGCAAAAAGTTAAGAGCAATTATTTGACCTTTGCCTCAGTGAATAGTTTCTGAGTTGACAGGGACAACGGCCTTTCTCTGACCCTCTCTGAATCTGCAAACCTCCCCTATCTCCACGCTGGGGAAGAAACACCTTTAGGTCGGTCACAGATGTTGTGGACTTTTCATATCTGGTAAAATTATCTTGTGATGCCAAGCCTATCTCCGAGCCTGGACTGGTGTGGATAGCTAGAAAGAAGACCCATTGCCACCATCTCCTTAGTATCTGGCAGAAGAGAATAAATTGGCCGCAGGATTTTCAAAGCTGTGTGTAAGCACTTGGGTTGTCCTGGTTAAACTTCTGGTTGGTGTTGATGTTTGGATAGAAGGCATCCTGGTCCTTGCTTTGTACCTCGAGAATGAGGGGCTGGGGCTGGACGTGGTTTGTGCATCTCTGTTTAACTAGGTTCAGATACAAAGAGAATGAACATGTCTGTGCAAGTCACTGCTCAAGTGTCCTACCTGCTTTCTTTGCAGTGTAGTGGTGGGGTCATTGCACTATTGGCCAAATTTGGACCATAAAGCATCAAAACACACCTCACAGCCACAAGGCAATGGAGGAGGCACTTGGGAGCTGTAGAAAGTTGCCCGGAGTGTCTGGGAACGTGCCTGCTTTTCCAGACCTCTGCAAACTTCCAAATCCCTGGTAACAGGGGATTTCTAAGCTGAATTTCTGTCACAGATGACAGTTGCCTCAGTTTGACGTTATCCCTCAGGATTTGAACCCTGCTCCCATTGCTACCAGAAGACCAAGCCGTGCACAAATTCCATGTGTGCTCCACGTTTTCCATTTGTCACATGTGGCAGCTATGGCTTCTGCACAGAAGCCTCCCAGAACTGCTGCCTTCCAAGGTACCCATTTTGATGCCTATCAAAATGGCATCATTTATTAAAGTATTCAAAAAATATCAGATAGATAGATATCAAAGATACCAGTTATCAAAGTATTTGATAACTATCCCAGCAGTAAGAACAGAACTGGGTGCCATGACACAAGCTCCTGAGGGAGGCACTAGTGGTTTAGTTATGACCTAGAAAACAGTGCACTRGTCTTTGCTGGAGCTGTTCCTCCTCCTGGGCACTGACCCCGCGCAGTGCCCACCTGAGCTGGAGATTGGCAGGACAAGAGCCCCTTGGGCAGCAAGGGAGCGGAGAGCAGGCGCTTCCCTTCAGCCTTTCCCACCGGCCTGCCATGTCCCAGCTGGGGCTGAGGAGAAGGGATGTTCCTTGGGGAACAGCTATCCGTGCCAGCTGCTCATGGAGGCCTGAGGAGGCCGCATGAAACCCCGCAGCGCCCCCGGGGCCATGTGTGCATGGAGGCCTGAGGAGGCCGCACGAAAGCCCGCAGGGTCCCCGGGGACAGCTGCACATGGAGGCCTGGGGAGGCCGCACAGAAACCCACAGGGTCCCCAGGGCCACGTGCGCACAGAGGACTATGTCCCCCACGTGCGGTTGACTGGAATATGTCATTAGTGAAGGGCAACATCCRAATCTTTCTGGCCCCTTAGAATTCTTTCTTGACAGTGCTTGACAATATACATTAAGCATAACTGCAACCTAGAATAGCACAAGGAAAATAGTCTTCACAAAGTGATTTATCTTTGTCAGTTTATGTATATATATATCTGACCTCTGACTTCCCTGAGGTTTGGGGAACAGGACACAACAAATATAATACCTAAATGAATGATAGATACTTATTTACAGAGCTAAAAATACACTAAGTAGTTGCCTGTTGCAGTGCACAGTCACAGTGCAGCACAACTGCACAAATAAATTTGCATTATTTGGACTGACATCTTGGCTCGTTAATGGAGAAAGGAAGTGAAAAAGAACAGTAGCCTAAGGAGTTGCTTTCACTTAATAATTGGGCAAGAGGAAGCGCTGTCAGTGTGTTTATAGTTCATGATTTCAGAGTTTTGAGAAGATATCAGTGACTTCTTCACTGGGCTGATATTTCAGTTCTGCATAAAGTCCATTCAGCAGAATCATGTTTATCTTCCTTACCTGCACTGTCTGGCCTGGGACTTCATCTGCAGGAGGCTTGAAACTGGTAAAACGGAAAAAAAACGTAATTAAAAAAGTTCTTAAACAGGAATTCATGACTATATAGTCATTTTTTGCCATATTTGTGATATTCAACTTTGCTGCTGCATTTATGTGGAAGTTAGTGAACAAGAATGATCTGACAGGATGAAGGCTTGCATTTATCTTCTGTGTAACTGTTGTTTGGAGAGCTGGATATCTCACACAAAAATACATTGAAAGTATACTAACAGTTGCATTTCAAGAAGAAAAAGCCTTGTTAAATGAGAAAATTAAAAGCAKGCTATGTGAGATGTTATAAGTGACTCCCACATAGGAGTGATATGAGTGACTCCTTATGTATAAATACACTCATTTACATTATTATATGAAAAAAATCCTTTAGCTCTCAGGCCTGAGTTCTAGTATATTACATGGAATGTACTTTTAAGAGGCATTTTTCCGATGTTGCCTCAGCATATTTAATATTGTTATAACACCTTTATAAAATAAAAGCTGGTAAGGAAGTATTACTCATCTTGATTTAAGGAGCTTTCAAAATGAGTAGTTTGGTCTAGATTCACAGTGATGGTTCCTCCAGTGCACATTCCGTGGTGTGATGTGCCATCTACTGTTAAATCCCCCCAAAAGCAGCAAAACACTGCAAAATGGTGATACTAGCTTTCCAAATGAGGTGCTTTGATAGGTAATTTTCTGAAATGTTAGGTGTTTAGGGATAGGCTGTAGATGACAGGGGAGCAAAGAGGGAATATCTACTTCTATTGATTGTTTATTTTATTTTTTGCCATCTAATACTGCTCTATAATCCTTGTTTGTGGATCTGTATCTTGTTCAAAAGGTGCCTTCCCAACTGCAATAGAGCAGTTTGAATTTTATGCTTCTGGTAATGTTGATGCCTGCAGTTTCCTTTGTAAGAGTACAAGCCTCATATTTACAAAGCAGTTAAATTATAGGGAGAAACTAATTTTGTGTTTTCAAATGCATCTAGCTGACGAAGGAAGAAACTAAATAACACCAGAGTCTTTTTATAAAGAACACTCATAAAATACATTTTGTAATGCAATAGAAAACCCTGGGAATAGCTCAACACGACAACATTGCCTTCTGATGCTTTTGCTATGCAAGCAGGTGAGATTCCCTGCAATCAAGTAGCATGTTGTTCAAAAGGGGGTTCTTCTGAGAGGAAGGAAAAAGAAAACAGTTTCTAACATTGATTTTTCAAAAAATGAAAAAAAAAAAAAAAAGGAAGGTTAATATTGCATGGTGAGCAATTGTCTTTCATTTTCTTTCATTTTTCTTTCCAAACCTCAGGAAAAGAGATCAGGTAGATGAGTGATTTTCCTTGATTAAAGGAACAAAAATGTAATTGGTTCTCTCCCCCTGCTGAGATTTAAGGTGAGAAAAAAAAAATCAGTAAAGTTTTAAACACACATTGCTTGCCTTGCTGAATCAGAGCCGTAAATTGTCTTTTTTTGAAGAGAGGGTACCATGTAGCTTTCAAAGGATTTGGTAAATACCCATAATTTAGAGATTTTTTTGTCAACAATCCACAGTCTCCACTGTGTTAAACTAGATGTTTACTGGATGTTAACTAGTAATGTTAAACTAGAATCTTTAGGTTAAAAACACCTCCTTGTAATTCATATRGATATCTGAAAGAATATTGTTGAAGAACCTAGATTTAAAGAATTTCAAAGAGCTGTTATTTTACGCAAATGAAGCAGACTCTTGATATTTTAAAAGCCATGGCTTATTGCTCAGTAAACCTGATCTTTACAGGAAAAGAAAAAAGAAATTAGTTTCAACACTTCCCCAAAAAATGAATTCATTGAATTCACATTCTCTTTTTCAATAGGTAGATGGGTTTGTCTGGCTGTTGTTGGCATTTTGAGTGGCACGTTGCCATTTTGGTATTCAAGTGCTTATACTAAGTCGATTTTTCCTCCTGCATTTCTTAAGTCCTTCTCTGATAAAAACAATCTGGGATAAATGAGGAAGTTCAAATTCTTTGCATTTCTGGTACATATTTTCTATATCTTGTCAATTTTATAAGTTAACCTAATTTTATGATTGCTTCAGGCAAAGCAGTTTAGTTCGTGGTCTGGCACCCAACTCAGTCTGGAATAGGATCTATTTAAAGTACTTGTCAGACAAATATAACTTTCTATTGAGTCAAGCTAAAAAAAAAAAAAAGGAAAAAGCAGTTGCTTTTACAGTGAGCAGTCTTATAATGGCAGATTTTATTCAAAAATACAGATTTCAGATTTTGCAGTACTTGAAGTAATGCTGGATAAATGGAAAAGTTTAAATAGCATCTGTTATGCAATATAATTATCACTAATCGTTTTATTTGAAAGTAAGTGTCAGTAAAAATGGTAGGAAAATGCAGATCTCACTTTTTCCGAACTTGTTGAGTGCATTAAGTCTAAACAGTAATTCAGAAATCTCTTCGATTTGTAAATGTATAAACCAATTATAACAGCCCTGTCGTTGTATAATGTTTATGTAAAATCCTGAGTTGAGTCTTCTGAGCTTCTATTAGCTATGCTGGATTTGTGGAACAAGCTATATCCAGTAGTAGACATGCATCCACATCTCGTTGTAGATTTGTGGTTATCGWTATTATTTTTCATAATTTTAGGTTAAAGGCTGTGCTGACCAACAAGAAGCTGCTGTTTGCTGCTTAGAGCAAAGCCAAGAAATGAATCATATTTGCTACTGSCTATCACTCTACCACTTGCTGATATACACTTGTTCAGTGTCTTCATATTCCTGTAAACATGCCACTCAGTTATTAAATATTTTTAAGTATGGACATCAATTTACAGTTATTTGACTCAAGTTTGGATTCACTGAGCTTTAAAAATATCACCTTACAGAATCAGTTTTAATAGGAATTAGGATTAGGTTGCTCAGTAATAAAAGAGTGAAAGACCAAACTGTTCTGCCCATGGATCATTAGAAAACCTGCTTGCAGCATTCCGATTTCACAATATTTACTGGTAACGGTGGTGTAAGTGTTGTGTGCAGCAGGAGGAGCTCAGCTTCGGTGTTCAGATCCCAGACGGAAATCAAGCTGCTGGCAATTTAAAAAATCTATATTTGATTTACAAATTTCTGCAAATGCTGATACAAAGAAATAACYATGGAACAAGTCAGGAAACTGGACAAGTAAAACCGAGCTGGGTTCTTCCAATTCAATTGACGTTTCCTTGACGCTACCGCTATCTGACTAATGGTATCCAAAGAGCAAGTACAGCTGCTAGAGCTAAGGGCATGATGCTGTTCAGGCAAGCTACTGTATAGAGTTCTATACTACACATTAAGTGTATATTTGTCTTCAGTCTTCTWATTTCTGCAATACTCCTGTACTAGCATTGTCCTGCAACAAGTCTTAACCACTTGGGTGCCTGTGCAGCTTTTAATGCCAGCGCTGCTGGGGATGTCAGCTACACTGAAATGCTGCACTCGGATATAAAGGTTATCATAGCATCACGTTACTCCAAATATCGTATGTTCTGTTACAGGAAAAGCAGCCACTGAACACAGGTTGTGATAGCTCGTTCCTGCCTGAAGCAAAGTCGTGATGGCACCGGTGAGACGGACAGTATAAACTGTGAAGGCAGCTCTGTAAGGTGCTGCTGAGAAGGCTAAGGCCAGCAGGTAAGTGCCTGTCTAAGGGGCTGTGGAGATGTCCAGGGCAAATTTCTGTCCTGGTTGTCCCCTGCCATGCAGATTAAATTGTCAGAACTAGCTTACAACTGATAATAAATGTGCCCAAATCAAGCTTGGATTAGTTTATCTTCYTCAAATATTTAGTTAAACTTTCTGTGTAGATGACCTCAAGTGACTTCCATGTCATCTGCCAGTACTGCTGAAGTACTAGTCACGTAACTTGGTCTCCTATGCAGTCATCTCCCCTCTCTCAGGAATACWGTACTCAAACTGGAGTCTGAAAGGGTCTGAAACTAAACCAGGGAAACTAAACCAGGGAGGACTGAATTTTGCAGCAGATTCTGCTGCATTTTGCAGAAGATCCACAGAGATCTCTCTACTCTTGGGATGCTTCCTGAGGTGTAAGAAATCCACATTGAGTGTTGTTGAGTGAAAAAAACACCATTCTATTGTTAATGGGCCTCTTTTGTTTGTAGCATTTGGAATATAGTGCTGGCTTTTGTCAGGTTGTAGCACAATAAGAGAAGACASACTGCAAAATGCACAAAACCTGACTGAAAATCCTGGAAAAATGTTACACAGCATGGTGAGAAAGGAAGATGTTCAGTGGACAGAAGTGTGCAAGCAATATGAACATTTAGGGAGCAATAGGAATAAATTTAGGGKACAAGAAAAAGAAGGAACCTATTAATGAGCTTTTGAAATACAAATCAAAAATAAGGAATATAAAGGTGAGGGAGAGGAGTTCTTGCTCACATGGGAAAGGCTGCATTTGAATGAAATAGTTCTTTGCAGAAGCCCTAAAAAAGGCAAGTGTAATGCAGAATGCTGCATGGAACATAGTAAGAGCTTAAGGCATGTAAGATGTAGCCTTAAGCCTTGAAATGTTTTCCATCCACCTTGGCATAACACACACAAAAGCTGTCCAAAAACGTTCAGCCTGACATGTCTCACTGCTTARGTATCTCCTGCTTTCATGGAGAGCCTGTGTCCATAGCAACATTGGTGTTGCATGGAAAGCCAGATACGCAAGCAGAGCAAATTAAAATTACCCTGAATAAAATTTGTCTGAATAAAACCTCTCATGCATTTCATGGGTATTTGAATGGCGTATCATGTGCATCTTCCCAAACCACAGGACGTTTGCTTAGGATCCTATCCATAAATAAGTAGGTATTTTAACTTCAACAAAGAATATATTCAATTGATATTAAGTCTCCAAGGGTAGAAGACTTAAAGATGTAGATTAATTTTATAACTAGCTGTATGTGTTGGACAATTTTGAAACGTATTTTAAAGGGGATGTTATATGAAAGAGGAGTATGGTTTGCAACTTGAAAGTCTGACTGCTTTGAAGATTTCCACCTGCCTTAAATAGGYACAAGTTATATCTGAAAATCTCCCATTGTAAACAGAACCGTGTTTATTTTTAAATAACCTAATGAGGGCTCTTTCTATGCTAGGTATAGAGACCACTGTCATTTTGCCTAGTTTCGGAAGATAATTGAGTAATTGAAGAGGTAGTTATAGGGGCCAGATTATGGAACTGAAACTCTAATGACAGGATGTGGTGTTACTGAAAACTCAAAGTGTATTTAGCAGTTTCCAAATAGTAAAGTGACAAAATACACAAGATGCTGAGATGTACAAGAGGGTAAAAATAAAGACCAGCTCCCTCCTCGCTATTTGAGCAGGAAATGTGACGGTAGTTTGCAACAGTAAGAACTGGGGTCTGCACAGTGGCAGTTTCAGGGAACTGCAGCTGTAGCTGCACATCTTTTTCTACCTCTTTCCAAAAGCTACCAAACGTTTGCATGCAAGTGTAGCAGCTGCCCAGAAGCAGCCTGTCTGTAATGCTTCCCCTTGTAAGAACCAGCTCTATTAAGGCTGGTCTCCAGCCTTAATAAACAGTCCACTGTGTGAAAGAGACAGCTGTTTTCCAACAGCTGCAGCAAAAAGGGCTTTGGTTTCTCACAGGTGGTTAGAGCAGAGCAGTGATTAATTTGTTCATGTAGCTCTGCTTTTTCTTTGCCTTTTACATAACAGTTTGGGATCTTTAAGTGTACCTTGYGTGCTTTCTTCAACATATATTGTATATTTATACAAATATATCTACATATGCATACTTGTATACTCACCTGTAGGAGGAGAGGGTGAAATTACACAAACCAAAAAAAAAAGAATTTATGAAGGCGTAAGACTTTCCTGTCATTGCCTTCCTCTATTTTTTATTATTTTGACATGTTTCCAGAAATACAGCTTTACCACTGTTCAAAGATCATGTTTTAATGCGAGCTACACTTGTTGTAGTACTTAATGTGAGTGCAGTATTACTCTATAGTCAGGTAATTTTCTTTGAAGGCAAGGAAATAATTTGTTGATGTTCTAGAAGAATGATTGTGTGATCCAGGAGCATGAGGTGTTGGGCTTTTAACTGTGTGTACACATTTACTTTTCAGCCATCAACCTAGGAAGAGAGAACATGAGATGGGATGTACCAGAAATGTGAAAAGAAAGGAAGAACAGACTGGCATGTTTTGAAGCCTTCTCAAGGTAACTTATCTACAAATTATGAAAGTGTCCCTTGTGATATGAGACTCCCATAAGCAAGTAATTTCCAAATGAAGTAATTTGCTTAATTTTATGTTTACAAATCACACGGATTGTCATTTATTCATGATTCTAAGCCCTATTGCAATAGGGTCTTAAGCTGAAATAGTTCAGAAACTACTGTACTAAATATTGGCTTTGTTTTTTTTATTTTTAAAGGAAGTCAGATTAAAGATATGGTTAGTTTAAATTCAGCTCATCTAATATCCTATTTGAAAGAAGCAAATTATGGCTGGTAGGCTACACTGAAGAGTGGTCCAGGAGATAGAGAATGTGGGGAATTACTCTCACCTCCCTAAAATCTTTTTGAGTGAACATTGCCCTGAGCAACCACTACTGAGGGAGGGTCTGCAAGCCACCTCCATTAATAAACATTATTAAACATATTTTAACTAATTCTGAAGTATATCATAAGCCAGTGATAATGATTAAAAATCAGTTATGCTCCTCATAATAAGTGCACTGACTCTCTAGGTTAACTGTTGTCTCCTGATGTTTCAGTTGCCTATGCAATATCTGTATCTAAGTATCTCCTAACACATATATGCTTAAGGATCACATTTTTATCTGATTYATACAGAACTCTTCCAACAAAAAAGAAAATATGCTCCAGGAGATTTTATTTGAACTTACTGAATAAGTTTGAACATATTAATAAGAAAAGAATACTTAACCATATCTGCAAGAAGGATCTTAGGTTTGAAACACTTTAATTCAAAACAAATCTCWATGAATATTCTGAGGGAGTTAAATATGGATTACAGCATTACCTAATGTTTGAATTTCAGTGTTCACATAAAGTRGCCACATTATAGGATTAATTTGAAGATGTACGTAAGTACATGAAGTTATATTCTTTTATTACTTCACTTATTGGAAATAAATGACCTGGTCCTTTGAAAAACCATTAGCCATTATGCTAGAAATTCAGAATACACAATTACTGAGCAGATTACAGCACTTCAAGAGGAAGTTTTATGTCTGAGGCAACGTTCCTGTGGAAATCCCAGGTTTTGCCATGCAGAAGGGGAGCTCAGCCAGCTTTCATTGAAAAGTGTAAAATTAAAAAGCACAACTAATGCAGTATTGAATATAACTTAGTTACACTTGTGTTTTTCAAGCCTTGGTTTTCTGCAGCTGTTACCATTTCAAKCGGCATACGTTCCTGAATGTAGCAACAACTAATTAAAAATGTACTCAAGTTAYAGACCGCAGTTTAAGTGAAGTGAGGAATAGGAAAGGCTGAGTGGTGAGTTCCTGGAAACGAACAATGTGTAGCGTCAACTGAGAGATTTTTTTTAATCAAATAAAGGAAAAACAGATGATAGCATAATTTAATAACTGGTCCAAAACTGCAGATTTTTTTATGCTTACTTTCACATAGCCATCAACAAAGCACTTAATTCTGCGCCACTCAATGTGTGAATGATGATGATGATGCTACTTGAGTGCCTTGTGACCACGCTGAACACACTTTGAAACACACTGCTGAAATAAAGGTGGAGGGGAAATGTTTCTCTATTGAYTCCAAACAAAACTGGTATTTGTATATTATTATATAAATGCTAAGTAGACTTTAAAATCTGATTGACAACTTCCCAGATAAAAATCTTGAAGCTTAACTCATTTTTTTCTGTATTAAATAGCCTAGAACTGCAGCTTAGTAAAGAGCAAGTTGCCCAGACTCAGGTCAGACAGGTTATCTTCAGATGTGCTGTATAACAAGATTACCTTTCTAAAAGAAATTAAATGAAAATCCTCTCGAATTCTGGAGGTGCAGATGAAAGGGTTGGCAGGTTGTTTCCACATGGGGATGCCGGTATCCGATGAGCTGTACTTGACACCCAGCTGTTGCTATCACAGTGGAGASTACAATGTTAGGGGGCTGCTTGGGCTGAGTGACAAGGCTGAAGACTGACATCTGCCTTTTCCTTCTTTAGAGCATACAACTGCTGTGGYTTCCCTTAAAAAGAAAGGATAACAAAGAGACAACACTGTTTTTCTTCCAGGGAGTTCGTGGGTTGGGAGCTTGACAAGCTTYAACCTTGCTTCTCCCCCTTCCTTCTGCTACCTAACATTGAAATAACATTTAATTTCTCTCTCTGCTGACTTCCTGACGCCCTTAAGATCTGATCTAAAGTCTGTTTTGTGCAGGCATTCCTGCAGACATGGATTTCTTATGTTTCACTCGTTACTGTTGAAACCCTTGGTCTGTCTCCAAAATCAAGCTGTGCAAAACATATGATTATTACTAATTTGCTCATGTGTTGGGTAGTTAAGATTTTTTTTTTTAAAACGAAGAAGGTTACAGCTCCATCATCTTTCTAAAATGAAACAAATGTAGAACTTGTCCAAGCCAGCGACAAGTTCTTCATGCAGAATTTCTATACTAAGAATAYTGCTAATAAAAAACGCATAAAAAAGTTGGATGGAGCAATCTGCATACAGGACTGTCAACTACTTCTATCTGAAAAAAAATAGTAGGAAAGGTTCTGTAAAATATAAATATCTTGTCATTTTCAGAACATTTTGAACTGGAAGATCCCATTACTTCACTTAGTATCAAAATAATATTTTCAAATTGACCTAAATTTTCAGTGATGAAGCTGATAAAGTAACACTAATGTTCAGATGTTCTGCTGAGACAGCAGATGAGAATACAGTTACAGTTGTGAGCAAAACATCCCCCATAATCAGTTTAAATTGTGAAATTACAGATATTCTGTACATTTTAAATACATAATTTGTGCATTRTGGAGATAGGAAGTTATTTTTTCCTTGTTAGTAGGAGAAAAGATTACATCCCTGTTGAGGACAATAGAGTTAYAACTTCTTGTTGAGAAAGCTGTATTTATGCGTGCTTGTCAAGCCAGATTATATAATCCCATTCACAACAAAATACTTCCACCCCTCTTCATAAATTTACTAGAATTTGACAAAATAAGCAAAGATAAGATTGTCTTGCGTTACAGCCTGACCTTCGCTGCTGGTTTTTATCGGTTCCAGGAAATTTTTATAGCTGTGGACAAATAAGGTTTCTGTTAATATTTAAGGAAAAATAAAATCAAATGGTCTCTGTAGAGTCATGTTTCTCAAGGAAGTCAAGGTTCTCATCACACTTGTGACTGCATAAACACCAAGGAGAATGTACTTAAGAGCACATATCCTTTAATTTCCTTTAACTTCTCCCTATGTTCTTCCTAAATGACCTGTTTTCTAACAGTCCTGAGCAGAAGTCCTCAAAACTCTGCCATTGCCATGCCGACAGGTAGAGATCACTGCATGTGGCAGCCCAATSTCCCTTAGTTGCTGATAATGTTGCCTGGCCGCTTACACGCGATGAGAGGGCAGAGGAGAGGCAAGGTTGCAGGCAGAACTTGTAGCCTAGACTTGGCTTCAGATGGTGCTGTCGGCTTTGATCTGCTCTGCTCATATCTTAATTGAAAATATAAATGAAAAGGTACCTGTTAAAAAAACTTCTGAGCAGTAGAAGCACATAGGCCTACCCTGTCATGCTCAGACAAATGCTCCAAAGAATCCCTGAATTTAATTGCCTCATGCACCTTAATGCAGAGGAGTTTTTGTRACAAACTTTTATCTAGGAAGGCTACTTGTTGAGAGACATGCACAGTAAGTCCTTTTAGCCAACCTGGCTTATCTAGCCGTGATGGAATGAAAAGATCATTCTGAACCAAGTCACTGGAAGTGAACTGTCTGCTCACTTGGACTAAGTATTTAATACGTCCTGTATTCCACCGTGTCTTTTTTTTAAATGCAAGAAAAAGCATCTGCTAGCACAGCCAAGATTCCTGGTGCAGTTTAACCAAACCACTTAGACCTGAACTAGAATCCTTCTTTGGTCACCTCAGATACAGTACAATTTAAAAAATAATAGCACAGTGTTGAAAACACTTAGCCTTTACTCTCAGTATCCTTATGAAGCTGAATCTGCCATCTGGCTTGTGGACTCCGATTCTCTGTGAAACTTCATTCGCATTAGGTGGCATTTTTAGTTAGGTGTGCAGTTACAGTTTGGTCAATAATTCCCTGCCTTCCCAGAAACGTTACTAGGTTAGAGTCAGTGGTTACAAATTAAATGAAAACACAGGAGTAATAAGTGCATTTGTCCACCTTCCAGTAATGCAGAACCAGCAGCATCTTTAGATGTRAGATCTAGGTTTGTGCAGAGTACTGTAGACTGTACAGTAAATGCATTTATAGATGTATAATATCCCACCTAGAAAAGAGAAGCATGCTGCTATAGAAAAAGACCATGTCCAAAGGAAGTGTTACCGACCTGGGGGTTSGACACTGGACACGCTGCTTCCCAGTTCACATGGTCAGGCTTCTGCCAGCAGCCTCCGGATGCCATGCAGGCCCCTGGAAATCACCGTGTTGCAAAGCGAGGCTATAAAAGAGAGCAGACAAATAATTTGTGCCTCAGGTTCTTTTAATCACGGCTTGATTCGAGCTGAAGCCTTGTGTTTATGCCTAGATAGGGAAGTCCTTGTCTTACTGCTCAAGGTACTGCCAGAAGCAGAGTATGCATGTGGGCAGTTGCTCAAGGACAGGAAACGTTTTGTGGATACCAAGGTAAGTCTTAATTTCAGTGGACTCCTAGACTTCTCAGGTAAAAAAAAAGCACAGATGCTGCTTTTTTTTTATCTGTAATTTTTAGTTACTACTATATTGCTCATGTACACAATAGAAGTATGCATTGCTTGGCATGGAAATCTGCAGAGCTTTCCAAGGCAGATATCTGAAAAAGCCTTTTAAAATTGGTCATTTTTTTCCCCATGAAATTTGGGAAAATTTAACTCAAAAGCATAATAAAAATCACCTCAAACTATACAGGTCCCAGTTCTTAGGTTTAATCATTATTTATATTTAAACAAACCCACTCAGTAGCAAGATGATAAAACAAAAAGCATTCACATGTTCTTTTAATATGTATTTGAGCCAGGAGAACCAAGAATCTAAACATTTGCGTAGTTGCTTTTACAATTTTTTTCCACCTTTCAATTGCCCACATTAGGGGGGGAAAAAAGTGTAAGATTCACTATAGAATTCAAGCCAAACTCCAGTTACCTGCTCAAATAAGTCTTGAATCCCTGCAGATGGGAACATGCAGCCAATATTAATATGCTTTGCTTATCAGTCAGGTTCACAAATCTCTAGCTGATCATTGAAGATAATGTCTCAGCATGGGAGATAAAAGGCTGCACAAACACAACCTCTGCTCTCTGGCAGAAGTTAYCACATTCTGAAGCCAGCGCAGATCTTGGGATAATGGCACCAGAGCAAACTAGGCATTAATCCTCTTAATTCACTTCCCCAGGAACTCAGGCTTTGCTTAAGTGAAGGAAGAGGATTTCTGTAGGACATARAACACTTAAGAATTATTTAAATCTTACAGTATCACAGTGAAAATCGGGCAGATTGAAATAGAAAGACAAAGTACTAAGTATTTTACATCCAAATATGCTGGATTAAGATCAAGAGGAAYCTTCTACAGTTCCATCAGGCAAGGGAACCCCTTCACTTTCATTGCCCTCTCTAAGCTTTCTGCTCATCTCTAGGACACCACACACAAACATTCGTTGAGATAAGTCTTCCCTCTGGTGGCTCTTTTGTTAATTGTACTGTGGGCACTCAGAGATACAAAATCTGGTGACAAAGAGCTCCGTTCTTCAAAAAGCGTGCTTAAAACCTTATCACTGTATGCCAGAAGTGAAATAAATGCTAATTATGATAACAGGAGTCCCTAGCACACAGAATTCTTACCCTGAAATGTATATCTCAGGATGTACCTCTCAGAACTGCAGCTGTTGGAATTCCAAATTTCCCAGATATTCCCCACCGAAAGTAGACATACTGTTTATAAAGTAGTCCAGTAAAAATTAACAATATAGTTAAAGCTGYAAGATCATTCATTACTTTTTCCCTTGTTAAAGGCTGTTGTATTTGTAAACCCTCATAGTTAAAACAGAAATAAAATGAACAAACAGAAAAGACTTAAAAAGCAGCTGATCAGGAACGTACCTTTTGAAATTCACTGTTGGCAGAGTCTACCCAGAAGGTCAGACACCGCACAATTTAGAAAGTAAGTTAATAACCACCTTCCACATGGTCCATGCATACAGCCAARCCATTAGGGCAAACAAGCTCAACACCAGTATTTATAGTCAAACACTAAATGAGAAGTTTCTTCCAGGTCTTGGACTCATAATGCACTTTGGTTTTAACAAAAGAATTCTGATCCTGCAACTAAACATTTAACTCTCGCTTGTGGATATGGATGACTACAAAGTGAYAAGTCTTAAACTAAACAGAACATGGAGAAAAGCTGAAGTTTATCAAGCAGTAGAAAAAGTGATAAAATGAGTCACCTCCAGAAGGCTGACAAAAGGCAACGAGTTGACATTTCTTCTGGCACGAGTTATTCACAAGAGACACACAATATTAGATCAACTTTATTATGTTATCAAAGACAATAAAATATCCAAAATCTCTTTAACTCATTCATACACAAAAGTGGCATATAAAATGCTACGTCTCAGATTATGTTCTGTACAAAATACTGTTAAAGTGTAGAGCAGCAAAGTCATACCCAAACATTCCCTGAATTTAAGAGGGCCTTGAACACTGTGCTCCGAGAACTACCTTAACACTAAACTTTCCTTCCTTTGGTCTGCAAGTCCTTTGCAATTATTGCTAGTTATTGAAGCCTTCTGTTTTTAACAGAATCACATAGTGACTCTGACCCCCTTTAGAAGAATTACAATGCCAGCTGAAGCCCCTTCAGCGTTCTTTTTACATTTTGTCAAAAATAAATACATTTGGTCCTCAAGACTATTTGGGTTTCTGAAAACATCCTGGAGAAATAAAACCATGCAAGAGTTCAGGAAAGAGTGTGACATGCTCCGTATGTCTCAGGTATACTGAAGACATGTCAGTGAATTTGAACCTTTCATCTGTGAAGTGTGGCCAAGCACCTGAGTTCTGCTGAGGAAACATCAAGTTCTCTCTATAGAACGATGTGTTTCTTCAGACTTCTCCCTGTCTGCACAAGAGCTCTGAAGCTCAAGTGCACGTGGCTGTAGCAGGGCTATAACAGTACTGCCAAACAGTCCTGCTTTCAGATACAGAGGAACAACCCTTAGCAAATAGGGCCTTTCCAAAGGCTGAGGGAAATGATTCTTTTTCAGCAACTAGAATGAGCTTCTTGCTGCCTTCACTTTACAGGGAGCTTGCTAYGAGACTGAAGTACACGCTGACTATACATGTAAGGACCTAAATGAAGCTTCAAAGCATTCTCCAGCTCAAGAATATAGGCTAACAGCTCTTAACCTCTTTCAGCCCCCACTGCCCACATTGGTGACCTGCAATACAGCCTCTATCTCCACTCCTCAAACTCACTATTAACTTTCCACTTCAGCAAGAAATACAGACTTTGAAAAATTCTATTTTCTGTATATTTTTCCTGCTCTAAAACAGCAATATAGCAATTTATTCAAAAACTGAGTCAGACCACAAGAGTTTTATCCTTGAGCAGCTTCAGAACAACAAGTCTGAAGCTTGTCCAGCCAGCAGCCCTACACCCAATAGAGCAGGCAGCTAAAAGCTTGTGTGTGTTGCTTCATTTCAGCAGTTTCCATTTACAAATAGCCTGGGACAACTCAGTGCCAGCTCCAAGGAAGTCTGGGCAATATGGTTGTGGAAGTGCAGGTTCCTGGACAACAAGATACACATTCTCTTTTAGAAGAGCAGAAGAACTGAGTCCTCCTCTTACCAAAAGTAATAGGCAAGGATAATGAACCTACATTACTCTACATGAAAAAAGTTAAAACCTCAGTACAATTTACCTTATCCACAACTCTGGTTTAAGTTGCTCTGATTTTACAGTCATTTCTGATTTAAAATTTGAAGCTTTAGAYTTACCCTGTGCCACAGTGGTTTCATTTTACAGAAACAAGAATTCAAGCCTATTGTCATCGCAACATTTGTACATTAAAAGGCAGCATTTTGTGTGTGCTACAAAAATCTTTAAAACTTATCCTTTAGACAGCTTCAATTTCTTAAGTAATGTAAAATCTGTATTTCTGACATTTCTTTTTCATGGTAAAATAAATTTTTGTTGGAGGACGCAGCATTTGAAAAGCACTGATACTGGCTTTTTAGGAAACTAACAGTCTGAGTGACTGATTTAAAAGTAAGCAAAAGGGACTCTTTTAGTGAAATTATTTCTGTAAGATGATTTCTGTAATCAGGCTTGTAAATACCATGCTCATTTATGCTGCMTTTTCTCTGGAGTTAGTTCTGAAATGCTTTTTAAGCCGAGTAAAACAATATTGCAGCAATTCACCAGAGCTGTATCGAAACATTTAGGAACTTCATAGCCCAACTGCTTGAGACTGTAATAAGAAAAGTCTGTAATTCATGAGAGCTGCATTTTAGGCCTTAAATTTTAAGATTCTTTTTAGCAGTATTGATCTAACCACTGGTTGGCCACAAATTGGGTCAGAGAATTTGGCCAAGAACAAGTTTATATTTCATATTTGCAGTGACTCCTCCCTTTCACTTTAAGAAATTCACATTCTATTTTTAATGACTGCCCACTAATTATCATTTCCACTGCAGGATATTTCCTGTGGTTTTTCACCCGGAAGTGTAAAAATAACACACTGTATGCAAGGTTTGCCAGTATTTGATTCTGTTAGTTTTGACTGAAGAGCCACTGATTGTTACAAGCACTTTCCACTGCTTAGCCTCTTTCCCCTATTGAGAAGTAAAGCAGAAGGTCAGCAGCCTTCACACTATGGATTATAARTCATCAAAATCTAGAATTTTAAGAGCAAACTATTTTTTCCTGCTTTTTTAAAAAATCTTAATAATATATCTCAATTTACACATCTTTCCTCTTTCCCCAAAGCTCTAGCAACAGGAAGACTGGATGTGAAAAAAGTAAGGCAGTACCAAACCTCTTGCCTTTGACACTTAGTATAGCTGCACTCTTACAAACTAAGCTAAGTTTACTCTGCTTTCCAAATTCTTAGTATTTTTTTCCCTTGTTTCATGGGCATCTCAAATTGCAGTCCTTCCCAGCCCTCCCCGTGCAAAACCTTCAAAGCCCACACAGCAGAAAATCACATCGTATGTACAAGGGGCTGCAGAGTCTCAAATGAAAGTCTTATGTATGAATATCAGATATAACACTAGAGGTACCAAAATGCATATTTGACCAAATTCTCATAATGTGAAAATACCACAATTCATTATGAACACAAGTCTGAGACAAATTATCATTTAGGACACCAAACAACTTCTTGAACACAGAAGAAAAAAAAAGACCAAATAAATAATTCAGCTACCTAAATATCAAGGGATCAAAAGGCATTTTCCCTAATTTAAGGAAAGGCATCATAGGTGACGAAAATGACTGTCATCACAGGGTGTCACAAATTAAAAAGCAGCTTTTTCACATAGGTGATAGTAGTATCATTGGAAAGCATTTGAATATGCTCGTTTCCCGAAAGCTCAAACATCACCACCTCCTGCTTCTGCATGTCCACCCATTTTTGACATTGCAAGGCACTCTGTAAGTTTACTGTACCATCCCCATCACTGTAAAGGATCTTGGGCTCTTTATCAGGAAAGCTCTCATAATGGAAGGAATCGGGTGTTTCTACACCAGTACCATAAAGACAGTGAATGCGCACGCCGGGGGGTGTCATCTCGTACACCAGGGGCTCCGTGTCCTGCCTCATGAGCCAGCCATCCTCAAAGTCAATGTCCCTGTAGAATCTCTGATAATCCCGGAGAGTGTAGTTGGCTGTAGGAGTGCTTACAAAGACCTTGTCTGGAGGCCACGTGTAGTTGTAGGGGAGCATCCAGTTTGTGGAAACCGCTGATCTCTGCTGGTCTCGAATCTTGAGCGAGCTGATGACAGGGATTCTGTTGTTGTCACCTTAGAAAGAAAGGGTGGAATTTCACTGTAGACAATGTGTTTGTCACACACCCCGCAGCAACGAGTGCCATCCACAGTAATAAAATGAATACAAGAGAAAAAACACTCATTCCCTTGGCTTGCAGGCACATTTGGGGAAGACTGTTTTCTCAATTGATTCTGTCTTGGTATTTAACTTCTGCGAACAAACTKCTGATAATATACAAATTATAAAAGATGAATGAATGACAAATCAAGAGCACTGCTGCCTTTCCARTATGAGCCTTCATAAAGCACAAAATATTCTCTATAGCAGCTGACTGAGAAGTTAGCATTTATTAAGCATTATCTATACAATTTGTACACTTAGTCTAAATGCTTAGAAATGGAAAAAATATGTGTTTTACAGTGCTTCTGATCTTAGATCATGAATTTCCTTCCACTGTCTTATGTGACCCACAGTCACACACAAACCTGTTACATTTTCCSCTGTTTAGACTCAGCACAGGGCTAGTATTTGGCCAAGACATTTGTCAAAAGGCTCCGATTTTTGCACACATCAAGGAACAAGACAATCCACCACATTTCTTGGCAGCTCACACAACTTAATTACTAGCTGTAGGCAGCTTTCTTCAGATTGGAACTTTTATTCTTTTGCATTTCTCCACAAATTTAAAAGCTGCCTAATACATAACAGAGATACTGATTTACTAGGAAGAAATTCCCTTTTCTGATAAGCACATGAGCTCAAGTCCAGGTGGGTACAGGATGTAGCTAAGTCAACCATAACATAAAATGTGCAATTATGAGGCTGAAGTCTGTATTCTTGATATAGCACTGAGCTTGTATATGCAGCACAAATCCATAAGGTGGCAATGTTCATTCAGTAAGATGCTCAAGTGCCGTCTTCGTTGCCAGTAAGACTACATGGAAATGTTGCCAATATCACTTTGGGAGTTGATTTAAAAAAGAAAGAATACTTTAAAAGGTGGGGGGTGGCAAGAACAAGAATTCTGGCTCTTATTTGCCACTTTTGTAAGGCAGCTGTGGATTTCACAGAGTTCCTAGCCATTCATTTATTCTAAATAGCAATGGGAGCACAGAGAATACATTCACAGATTGCCTTCCCAGAGCAGTGCAGCATTTTTCTCAGAAGCAAAAATTCTGTGTCCTAACACCCTGATTGTCTTCTTTCTCTMATTTCTTTGATGGACTAATTGCCATTCAAGTGTTAGTGCGTGCGGGTTTTGACTTAYTACAGATACTTACGGCACAGTATTACGACAATAATATGCCTTTGGATATTATGTTCTAAGTTTCCTGTGATATTCTTAACTCTGCTGTAAAATTGCCAGATTTGGTTTTTGTGAAAGGGTTCCGTGCTATAGACTGTTTAATGCAGCTGTCACTCAGATTAAGAGATGTCTACATTCTAGTACAAATCTAGGTATCCTTATTATGCATTTGTATAGCTAGTAACTTTGGATAAGATGCATTATTAATGATAATCAAGATGTGAAAAATGAGAATTTAACCCAACAGAAATCCCAAGGACTGTGGAATTCCTTGCAATCATGTGGCACTTTACAGAGGCAATTTTAAAATTGCCCATTGTCTACCCTTTCTGTAGCATGCAAACTTGTCAGATGAAGCCTCTGTGAAATGAGAAATTGTTTTTTACAGAGCCTTTGCAACTGAATAAAAAATCTAAAATTTAATACAAATAACCAATTTAAGTTTTCTAATTAGTAACTCCAAATTGGGCATTCCCATTCAGATGCAAATGCCTTTGTTTAGCAAAGGGTTCTTTTGATCTGTCCACGCTTGGCTGGCTCCTGGTATGTGCTCTGCATTTTGATGAAATCCAATTCTTTTGATGTCAGCTTTACTTGCAAAGAAAATAATGATATCCAAAGCTAGCAAATTAGAAGTAAACTAAAAAGAATAAGCAGAGGGATTATGTATTAAACAGCAAAGCACAAAATAACTTAGTGCTCTGCAATGAAATAATCGCAGTATCACCTAATGCTGTAAGTGAACTTTTTCTATCAGTTGTTAGCAATTATTCAGTGAAATACATTATRCTTCCTCTTTTAAACCTGTTAGACTTGGGTATATCTGATACACTAACCCAAGATCTCAAAGATTCACTTTCCTCAGCTGCAGAGTTCCAATGTCATCAGCACTTAACCACCTTGGCTACGAGTTTCATTTAATGTTCACCTCAAGCAGCCCTGTGATCTTTAATCAAAGGGAACTGGTGAGTCTRTCAGCTTTGCAATACTGAACTGAGAGCCCTCAGACCGATGGCAGAAGTGACAGAAAAGGAAGGCACTTGGCCAAACAGCAGGTGACACCACAAGCTGCTGGGATGGGACTGAGTCAGGAGCGGAAACGGCTCCTGGTTAAGGGATGTAGAAAGACTGACGTGCAGAAAGAATGACAGTGTGGTCACAGGGCTTGAAACGCCAAGCTGCTCTAACTTAGGAAGTTTAAAATATTTTTTTTTTTCTTAATACTTCAAATTCTTATCCTCCAATCACAGTTAACRGTGTGGATATTCTCATCTACTCCTAAAAAAACAGAATGCAAATCCTTAGGTTACCTACCTGAAGCCAGCACACGGAGAGTTTTAGCAACTCCTCCCCAGGGAGCACCCAGTGACACGTAGTCCTTTATGTACTTGTCTTTCCAATCCTGCGACTGATGATTGAGGAAGTAGAGGGTGTACATATTCCCCATGCTGTGGGCAATTAAGACAACAGGACTTCCATACTGTTCGTACATTAACTCTATCATCTTGCGAAGGGCCACAAAGTAGTGTCCGTTCTCATCTAAAACAAACACACACAGTTTTCAAAACCTTATCAAAGGCGTTATTCACCTTTTTTGTTTCTTTTTTACTACTCAAAAGCAATGCAAACAGGCTTACATCAGGCAACAAGTTCAAAATTTTTTTCCCTATTCCTCTTAAACTTACATAAGTATAGGTACAAAGATTACTCTAATTCTTCACATCTTAAATATGAATTTTAAGACTGCCCCAACCCAAGGGGGGAAAAAAAAAGAAAAAATGAAAATTACTTGGTGCCTTTCGCCAGTCATAAGGTGCTCCTCTTACATCTTCATCCCGCTTGTAGCCCCAGTCAACCAAACTCTGCACCAGCAAATAGAAGTAACTGCCTGCAGATATCAGATGGGAAAGAAACAGAAGAAGTGAAAAGATTAGCATTAGAAGCAGCCATCAGACAGGCTAATGATGGCAAAACAAATTAGCTTCAGGATGCATTACCTCTAATTCCACATATACAGGCATTAAGTGTAATCTAAGAATCTGGCAATACSGAAAGCTGCACATTAAGCAAAATGAATTATGTTTGCTTTTCACCCAAAGCAAGTGATTACTGTTCTTAAAACCTGTCTCAACTTGGACAACCTGTCAAATGACAGCAAATCCAGCATACACAGAAGGGATGCATTTTCCTTAGCAAAACTATGTCTGACTCTTGAACCAAACCAAATTAAGAAATTCCTACACTGGAATTTTGGCTTTTGTTCCCTGCTAGTTAACTTGCTGTAGGACRCAATAAACAGTAACCTGGAGTTCTTGGAAAAAAAAATGCTTGCAGGGTGAAGTTCTGGAAACCATTGCAGAACTATTTCTGTATCCATCTTTTAGGGGATTGAAACTTAAGTGAATGACCATAATGTTCTAATGGAAAAGGGAAGTGTTTGCAGCTGATTGCGAGCACTTGTGGTAAGATGCTAGCAGTGCATTACGAGGTTAGAAATGTGGCATTCAAGTATCATCACTGYTAAGTGCATTTAGTAGCACTTCAGGAAGATGAAAGATCAGAAAAGCCTACTGAATATCACAGATGGAYTTATGTTTTTAATTATGCTATTATAAATAATAAGGTAAGTTCAATAGCACATTGKTATTTATATTTTATTAACTTCATAGTTACAAAAGTTATCTACTTCTAAGATCATGAAGAGCATCATTACTGCTCTTTTAGGGATTGCTCCCTAGAAAAAGAAACCCCCAAATCCCTGCAGTGGGAAAGGGCCCTTCCTGCCGGGAAGCTCCGTGCGCTACTGCCGGCTAAATGGCTTAAGTCGTCAGCCACAGCTTACATCTCCTCACAAGAGTTTGCCAGAGTCATCGTTTCCCAAAGGAAGAGTTCTACCAAAGACCAAACACGCCCTCCACCCCAGCAAAAAACACCCTGCAATCAAACCCAATTAATGCAGAAGCCATTTAGAGTACAAATGTAAGCACGTCATTATTCYGTAGCACAGCCCATACATACCAACACTCCTTTTGCTTGGGTCAAGGAATTCCAAGGAAAATGTCTGTCCAAAGCCTGGGACTCTGATATCCACTCCATCTGGTGGCTCTGTAATCTTGCTTGTTCGATTATACACAAGCCTGGGGAGGGACAAAGATACGAATCATGGCATATCAGCACATGACAGCTCTCAACTGAAACGGTCTTACATTCCCCGAGTGCACTAACAAGACCCTTGAGAGCTGTTAGCTGGCAGGGGGAGAAGAGAGGCAGACACGATAAGAATACTCTAGGAACTAAGTGGTTATATGGTGCAAACAAGTGTTTTCTACCCACGCAAAATGTTAAGACTTGTCTTCTCTGTAAAACTGAGTATACAGAAGAGTGGCTGGACTTCAGCTTTAAAAAGATATAAACTGCTTCGTGCAGCTTCATACAGCTCTACATTATTTCAAGTCAAGCATAAAATTCAGAAAGCTTGTCAAGAACTCAAGCAGGTGTGGCAGGAGCAGATAAAATAACTGTGAACTTGGATATCAGTCAAGTTCCCCTGAACACTAATGAACTATTTTTATCTAACTAGAAAACTACAGCAGCATACTGGAGTACTTGGTATTTTTTAACTATTAATAATAGGTTAAACCTAAAGAAACCCACACAGCATGAAGTGTTTTGTACATATCTTTTAAAACTATTTGCGACACAAAGAACTTGAGCGGATATTTTTGTATCTTTATTAATGCTGTATCAGTACAACTGCAGTTTCTGGAGTGCCAGCCGTTACTGCAGCTCAAGTGTCACAATCCTGACTAATATTCACACTTCATGCATCAAAAATCTCCCTTTACCTGTGAGGCAAACAGCTCTGAACTAAAGCAGAGGCACTGTCTCAAGATACAAAATAGAAAACACCACCTCCACGAAAACCTGCAGACCCTCAAGCATCCARTTTAAGACTCTCTGCTTTCCAGTGACTCAAAAATTTCAAAGTTTTTCACTATTGCTTAWGTTTTTTTTCTTAGTTGATTTACGTGGTAGAATTCTTTTCAATCTTTCACCAAAAGCACTAAGATGCTACTAATGAACTATACAGAATATATTTACTCTATACATATAACGCTATTAGGAAAAACAGCTACAAAAAACTGTCTTTGAGAGAGATTGTGCAGCGTGGATAAATGAGTAGATCTAAAAGCTTTCATAAAAAAATTTGAAACAACAAAACCCATAATGACACATCCCTATAGTATTCTATTTACACTACAAAATACACTTGTGTCTATATGCTTGTAAGTACAGGCAGAGATTTTTTTCCAGAGATGTAGCATTACTTAAGAAAATGCTAGGATCAAAATGGAAATGAGCAACAGTGGTGAAGTTCACTTATGTTCTATTTCCCTGTTGGGTTTGGAGAGAACTTCGTCATTTAGGTCAATTTGTACTACATAGATCTTTGTTAAATAAATACATCCTTTAACTTATAATTACAACTGCCGAGCAGGCTACTCGAGACCAGCAGTGAGCCCTGCTGCTTATATTATTGTAGCTAGAACTGATAAGTAACATTCACGTTATTCCCCTCGTTCCTTGTCTACTGAGTTACCCATTGCAATTTAAGGTGCTGATACAGGTATGTTGGCAGAGTCCTGGAACACAAAGATGAGCCGAGGATTCAAAATATTAGCTGCCCAACCTACAGAAGCAAAACGTGGTTGTGAGGAAGCACCACTAAAATTTACACCCCATAGAAAAATTATCAGAGTTTCCATTTTATTATTGTGGAGGAATTAAAAGAAAAAAAGTCTAACTGTTAAACTGTATTTTGCTTTGTTAACATTGCTCCTGCCTTCAAGAGCTCTAAGGGATTTCTCTCATTGTTCTTGAATTGCAAAAAGAAAGTTTACGGTCGCCGGTCTGATCTAAGCATGACAGTCCAAGTAAAGAAGCCCAAAACAAGTTTCCCAGTGCAGTATTTCTGGTCTTACCTGATATTATCAATCCAGCAGTCAATGATGACAGGCAGAAGCAATTCTAAATTCAGCCACAGTGTAAAGTAACTGTCCGTCTTCTTAGAGCACAGATAGTGCACTACTGATGGCTTGTCTAATTTGGCTTCCAACTGATTGCCCAAGTCCCCCGGAACTGGAAGATAGTAAAGTAGGTAGGTATTAAATTGAAATTCATTACAAATTCTTAATTATAGGTTAATGTACAAGCTTCAATATTGTGTAATCCTGTAGCTTCATATCTTGATGGATTTCCAGACATGGTTAGCTGGGGAACCACCACATAAATAATTSGAGAGCGACGTTTCAGTGCCTTCAAAGAGCAGACTCCAGAGGAGCAGGTCACGTTGGGTCACGGGTATCAACAACACATTGACTCACACCTTATCAGAGTTCTCTCTCTTCTAAAGCATAAACCGAATCTTTCTGAATAATGATCTTCAGACAATTGCGAATGAATAGATAAGTCTTTCTGTTCTTTTTAAACAGTATCTACAAACTATGGAGTTTTTCCTTTTCAGTTCATCTCCTACTGCTGAGCTTTTCTTACACAAAATCTAGCTGGACTGCATAGTTATCAGAGCRTAGGTTGGTGTCTTGTGCGTTCACATTGGGGGTAATAACAGTTTTGGTCTTGGCTCTGTCCCTCCCACCRTGTTGCCTAAATAATACATGGAGTTAAGGGTCTCGTATTTGCACTGTTACTAAGGTATATGCCTGTTGCTACTATTCCTTCCATGGAACTTTATTGCCATTTATCTATCTTCAAGACAGGCCAGAGAACAGGCAGACTTCCACAGTAGAACTAAAGCAAAGAAATGCTCTTATTTTCAGCAGTTAGCTTACAAAAGAGCTCCCTAAGTTTTGCAACATTTACTAGGTGTTTTTTTCTCCCACAAACAAGGGAGACGAATACAATTCTGTAACTGAACAGTCTCTCCATATTAGAAAAAAATATGAGTTGCAGACAGCTTTCAGCTTTATTTTTCACCTCCTCAGCTTTTTTCCTCCCACCTTTTTTTGCAAGTGTACAACTGCACCCTGTTTATATGACAAAACTTTAMTCTTGTAGCTTTTAACTATAGGGCTGCACTCAGTTTGCTGAACAACCGAGAATACTTCCCACTGAAAGCATAGTACAAGTTTGCTTCAGATCCTATCATTGCCAAGTTTGCTTCAGATCATATCTCCAGCTGACTTTTTTTCCTTTTGCTTTTAAACATTAGCTCCAACAAAAGTAGTGAGCCAGCTAGTATATTCAAGCCAGCTTGCTCCCAAATCTGGGGAATATTAAAAATATATAAATATATMTCTCTCTCTTCCTGCTGTGTTCAAGGAGATCATCACATACAGTCAAGGAAAGCAAGCTCCATACTCCAATTAAGAAGCAACAATGCAAGTTTCTACAGTGCTGTCTGAGCCAAAGACTTCAGGTGTGCTGCAGAACACAGGGCTCACACACAGAACAAGGTTAGTTACAAATGCAAGTCACTTACAAAACACTAGTCCTATGAGCACAAACGTCTTTGCAATTTCCTGTCTGCAGGGTTTTTGTTGTTGTTTTAATTTTGGGTTTTTTTTGTGTTTTTCTTTTTGCTTTGAGCATTATGCAACTTTGATAAGGAAACCAATAGTGACAGCTCTTTTCTTGTTAAATCATAGGCCCTTATTCTTAGAAAAGCTCTAGCACAGCTAAGATATTGCTGTACAGCAAAACTATATCCCATGCAATTTTCATTCTGTTTTCATATATAGTGCTTAGAGAGTGACTTATACTTCAATATGTATTTTTTCATTTCATTTTCAGTAAATTTTTTCCTTTCATCTCAATCAGCGTYCACTCTACAGAGACTTAAACCGTTTCTGACACGTGAACGTGTGCTGTTCTTTCTCCAGATAAATCTCTCCACCACAAAAATCTTAGGATATACACCCTGAGAAATAAAACACCTGAAGGACTGCTGAGAAAGGAACTTCATAAGCTTGTTTTGCAAGTTCAGAAGGGTGGGATGAGAAACAAAGTATGGAGAAGAGCGAACAGCAGGTAAGTTTGCTTCACAATACTCAGYATCCCTTTCTTGGAGCCATTGCAATCTCTTACTGGAACAGCTAACTTAACTGGAAAGCCAGATATGTTTTCACAGAAGCATTTATGGCAGAACTGAGAAAGGACACAACTTCAGAGCAAATAGAGGCTGGGACAGTTCGTCTCTTCCACCCTCCCTTCATCCCAGTTGCCCCACCGCAGAAGGGAATATCTCAGGATTTCTTTATTGACTACCCCTACTTTCTCACTATATCACAGAAATAAAACACTAAMAGCCTAAGTGAAGCATTTAAAGGCCCAGTAGCTCCAAACAGTTTATTTTAGGTCATATTTCAAGGGCTCTGACGTCCTGGAAAGCATAGTAAGGGAGATTATGGCATTGCATCATGCACTGGAAAGAAGTTTACTGGAGTTCAGGCTTGGAACCTCGCAAAGTGCTGTTTAGTTACTGCTTTCAGAAGTGTCAAGCAACAGGGTTTTTTTAACAACCTCATGCCTGTTCTGGCTGCTCTATCAGAGCTCTCGAATATAAAAAGAACGGAATGTAATTCTATTTATATCACTCACGGCTGGCCAGTTTCAGTAGCAGACCTAAGGACAAAACAAGCTGATTTTCTCTTCCATTTCAACACAAAACAAAGTAGCCAAGTGATTCAGAGGAAACCCAAAATTTACATTTACTGACAAAAGGACTGAAACCAGTAAATTATACARCATTTCAGTTGGAATTACCAGAATATTATGAACTACAAGTTTAATTTAGTAAAACTATTTAAACCTCATTTTTTGAGGGGAAAAAGGCTGCGCTCCTGTGTCTAATGCAGAGCAAAGGCATACTGATTATTCAAGGAGTGACAAAGAACAAACTGGTTAACTGAACAAAACATAGGGAAGTGATAATTTGATAAAATTCTAAGCAAAACTATGGGACAACTTCCACCTCTGCCAAGATACAACGCAACTGTTTAAAAATAGTGTTGTATGTGCAAGTGTGATCCCTGCTTGTTTATAAAGCAAGAATTAAAATGTTCTTCAGGTTACCAAGCCATCTATAACGTTTTTATATCAATGGACYGTTAATCATGGAAACTTCAGAGCCCATGTTTTATTTGCAAAAGTATATTCTCCAAACTGAATAGGGTTCACATGAGCAAAATGTATAAAGTTTGATTTTTCAGATTAAGAATTTAAGATTATGAAAAACATGCAAGAATCTTCAGTCCTAACCCAACACAATCTAACTGTTAATGATTTACATTTTGCCTGGAGAACGATCTAGTAGCTTTTTGCTCAGTAACAGGTTGGAAAAAAAATATTCAGCAGATTGCATTGAATATTAATTCAGCAGGAAAAGAACAATAGCTTCCTGAATTTTCTATGACAGAACTTTAAAGTGACAGAAAAAAATATTTCTATTTGCTATACATGGAAAACTATACAGGGAATACACTTCTAGGTAAAGTAATTTGCAAGTCAGCTCTTCATCCTATTATCTACTGATATCTACAGTTCCTACGTCCCTGTGTTGGAAACATCAGAACAGAGGCTCTGATTTTTAAGGCCTACATACCTACTTTATAAATTTACAAAATAATGGGCAAGTAAACTTTTGCAAAATACATCAGCATTCCAACCAGKAGAACCCTAGTGACTAATTTGCAGTTGTATAATGCATATACCAAGTTCTAAATTGAGACTGTTGGAAAGAAAATGGAGTTCTCATGTTGGGCAGAGAAACAGTGTTCCTGTCAGATTTGATCATTTAATCAGCTTTACAACATTCTTATTTTTCACAGAGACTGTAATTCCAACAGAAGCCRTCTTGATACATTAATCAGATCAGTTTGGTTCCAATATTTCAATATCTTTCAGTGCTTTTTGCATCAACTGGCTTCCCAAAACCAGTAGATCTCCTCCTGAGTGTTGCTRTTGTAAGACTGAACTTTAAGTGAAGCACAACTTCAAATTTCTTTAGAATAAAGACAYGACATATTTCTCCACATATAAAAATTATAATAACCACCTTTAAGATATTTTGAAACTCCTGCCCATCATTCTACTACAACCTTAATGACTGGCTAGCAGTTCTCAGAAGAAAACAATAAGCAGTTTGCAGTCTTAAAAGTGACTTCTGCTAATACCTCTCAGGAAACAAAGAACAATCAACAAAAGCAGTGAACAGGGTGGTGGTGGGGGGAATGATCCTGTAAGATTAGGAAACAAGAATTAGCATTAGGAAAAAAGAAAACATTAGGAAAACATTAGGAAAAAAGAAAAATAATAGTTTCCATGTAATAACTGAAAAAATAAGTCTATCACTTGTGTGACAAAGACACCAATTGATTTTTTTTTTACTACATTTATCTGAAAAGCCGATGATATACATCAACTATCACTCTCCTCCTTTTTTGTTCTATAAATTAGTCTCCCTTGAAAATGAACAAAGTTTTCTGGGAATTCACTTGAAATTCTGGCTACRGAATTCTCTAAGGAGGATGTCTCAAAGCAGCTTATATACTCAGCAACAGCCTGCCACAGAAAAGGCCCGTGTTTAAAATTAGGAACAAGAAAGCAAACAAGATCTCACATGATACTCCTAGATACCTCAGATCACATGAGGCATGAACAGTTAAATCACTGCTGACATCTAGTTAACTGGCCATACAAACACACCGCCCTCAATTAGTAGTCAGCAGGAATTCACAGAAAAACCTCTTTTGCATATAAATCAATTATTAACAAACTTCACTTAGGTGTCTTTCTAGAAAACTTTAGCCAAGTACCTAACAAATTGTTTGCAGAAGGTATCAGAACATTGATATAGTAATTGTGTGGAGTCAGCTCTAAAAGGTAAAGAGTTCAGTGAATCCAGTGATCTTATAAGGACAGGTTATCAGCGCCCAAAATTGATAAGACATCAGGAAATATGTAGTGACCAGAGAAAACGAAGTAGAAAGAACAGCCACAAGGAACTGCCAGTAACAGACAAGTRTTTTGAATATATAATCAAACCGATAAGAGCAGTGTAAGAATATTTTAATTGCGTGAGGATAAAACTGCTGTCTGGAAGCAATCTCACAGCAGGAGCGTTTTTATAGCTCCTGCCAATGGAGCAAAGGTATTCAGTACATTATCCTGGTTCTTAAAAGTTATTTTTCTGTACAAATATATTGTTCTGGCTTAAAAAAGTTCTTAAAGATATCTTAGGTGGGAAAACAATGCAGCAGCTTAACTAACACCTCTACCTTGAAAGCTCTTGAAGGAATAATGCCAAAATAGTATTTTTACATTTTACTGCGTACTGTCTCTTGGATATCGAGACTTCAGGCAGGACTTCGGAAGTAGACTTAMGACTTTTACCTTATATTTGTCCTACTGTAGTTCCATTGCTGCCCTGTAAATACCTTTTGCTGCCTTTTTTTTTTTCAATCTTAAGGAAAACTCTAACTGTAGTACCTTTTGTGTGTGTGTGTGTAAAAGCAGAATAATTTATGTATTTGTGTTACTCCCTTGGTATGTACAAATGTGATCTTCAGACAAAAACAGCTCCTGCTAAGGCAGTATTTGATGATGCACAGACCAATTTCAGGATGTTTCTAATTCACATGGAATGGCATTACTCTCCCCATTCCTTGGGCCACTATTAAGGTAACTCAAGTCCGAAATTATTCATTCCTCATCAGGTTAATTTTCTCCAGATTTAATGAACAAAAAAAGAAGCTGGCCCAAAGAAAGCAAGGAGAACGGCAATGAACACTTGCACTGACAGCATTAGCTGTATCACAGAACCACATTTCACTTGGACCTAGTGAGGAGCTCTACAAACTTGAGATCTGTTGTCACCACAAGAAAAGGAAGAAAGTCCCACTATTTTCAGCCGATACTTACAGGGTTGCATTCAGGCAGCTCATCTGTTCTCTGATTTGAGAGGTTCCTAAAGGAATATTTTTGTTAGTACCTGGGGAACAGCACAAAATTATCCGTCTCTAAGCAAGGCCCCATATTTGCAAACAAGTGCTCCATTTCCTTCTATTACACAGGCAAGCACAGGTTGCAACTCCAAGTGGGGTCATTACAAGAAAGGTTTGCAAACAAGTTACTCCAGGCTTTGTGACCATCACAGTATAAAACATTTCTTAAGTGATCATTATGTGGACAACATTCCTTCCTCCTTCATTCTCTCAAGACTACCAACTTGCATAAGATAAAATACAAAACTCCGAAGCAGAAAGAAGTTACAACTTCCAAACTGGCCATAAAAACATAGTTACTATAAAAACATACTTAAAATTTGACATACAGTGAAAAGAAGGCCTAAGATACCAGGCTGATAAAACAAGAGCAACAGCTCTATAAACTCATCTTACCTGGATCTTAGGCTTGTATAGYCCTTAGAATACAACCTCTCAACCTGTATCTGCATTTGTGATTCCAGCACAGCACCTGTTTTTCTTCCCTCTCCCAAGCACCTTCTGCGTTAARCCAGAACTTAGAAGAATCATTTAGGGAGGCATTCCAAGTGCACTGACAATTTTCATGCAGTGTTTTCTAAAAAGCRTATTTTAACAGCTCACGCACACAAAAATGGTGAAAAAGAGGCCCTGAGAAGTTATGTAGAATTAAGATGAGCACATTTCATACAGCCCCAGTAAGTGACCGACAGTCACYTCTTACTCTCCTCTCCTTTATTTGTTTGACCTTCACTTGCTCTGTCACGTCGAATTGAAGCTAAGCTCCTGGTGCAGGTGTTTTTACAAAGACACAGTCATTTCTAGCCCCGAAGAACGTGGTATTTTACAACAGTAAGTTACAGCCGAGCGTCTAAGAGCTGGACAGCCTTCTCAAACGCACAAACAACAGAACAATCATTTATGAAGATGGAGGTAAGGATGCAGCCTTCACTTTCTGGACAAGTCAGGACCAGGCAGCAGAAGCAGAGGAGAGCAAATGAAAACTGCAGGAGCTAAYGAGGACAGTAAGACACACAAGTTATGTTTGCTGAAAATTCAATATAACGGTGAAAGATCTGTGGTTACAGCTGTGCTCAGCCTCACAGCACGTCTCAGAGAAAAGTAAGGCATAAGTTAACCATGCCTTTTAAATCATCCATAGGGAAGGTATATGGTAACAACAGATCCATCCATAGCAACTTCACATTCCTGCAGTGAGGATCCCTTTACACCGCTTTGGCTCCTTCACAGCAGGGGTTGAATGTCCGACSAACAAATTAAAGCAGTGGCACCGCTACGGCCAAGAAGCTTGTGCTGGGTTCAGCACCAAGCACTTCTCGGTGAAGTGTGCTGCTGCTGCAGGCAGGTGGAATGGAAACAGTCTGCTAACCTGCAGAGGCCGAGCTGAATACCGTACGTCTTGGTCACACTTGAAGTCCAGTCTTTTTTGAGCTGCTCTGGCCGTTTCTTTTCCCAAATTCACATCCTCAGATATTTAGTTGAGACATCTGTTAAGAACTGTGAACTTGTACCTGTAGCCTAACAGATGTGCAGCCTCTTTAAAGTCTCCTGGTTAAAGTTTGCCCTGTTCTGTCAAGAGCTTCTAAGAGAAGTAATTAATAAGGTCAGCAGCAGAACCCCAACTATTATATCTAAAAGGAGCATTATCTGAACAGCCTGCTCATTCCTCCTTCACCAGCATCCCTCCCTTTTCCTATGTTTTCCCCCCTTGRCATCAACATTATTTGCACAGCGGGAGTACAGAACATACTGAAAAGAGTCACGGGATGATTTACAGCACCAAACGCACTTGATAAAAGCATTAAAGAACGGTTCAGAATTACCAATTCTGTAAGCAAGTTACAAAAASCACGCATATTCACTTTCCACTCTCTTACCACCAGGCTCAAAAAGCATCGACGTTTTGAACAGGTTTGAACGACGCTTTGCTGCGAGGTACCGCACGTTACGGAGCGAACGCAGCTCGCGGCCCGCGCACACCTGCGTTTTGGGGCAGTTGAGGCGTTTTGGGCAAAGCCGCATCCCGCGCGCTCCCGCCCGGCCCGGGCCACGCCAGGACGCGGCTCCGGGGCCGCTGCCCGCCGCCCGCCCGGGGGCTCTTACCCAGCACGACGGGCGGCCCGGCGGGCC